CGGCGCGCAGTTTAAATGCCAGGCGGCGCCCGGGTCCGCGTGAAAGCCCCGCGCGGGTCCCATTCCCTGTCGAGGTTCTGTGAGCGCTGCCGCGGTTTGGGAAGTTATCGCCGTGGCGGCTAAGCGTTTCCGTGTCTGTCCTACATCAAGGGAATGAGGACGGTGCGGTAAAATCCAGGTAACCTGTGGGAACTGGTCCCCCTGAGTGTAGGTCGGGCTTTCGCGGCGCGTTACCTGCGGCTGGGAAGACCCCGGTTAAGAGCGGGGCGGGGGGCGGAGTGCTGTATGGAAAACCAGGAAAATTGTGGGTGAGGGGGTCCTGCCCGGGAGTGTCCAAGTCCTCCACTTAGAATGAGGAAGGAGCTGCTGGAGTTGGAATGATTCCCCCCCACCTCACCCGCCATGGGGAGAGAGGACACTGGGCAGAGGGGGGACCAAGCTGTCCTGCAAGTTCAGCCTTTGAGTCCCTGTGGAACTGACCCTCTTGGTTTGGACTCGAAAACCAGGTGGTTCAGTCCAAGGAGCCTTATGGAACATTATGCATCTTAGTCAGGTATGCAGTCGGAGCAGAGAGATCAGCAGGGGTCCCGGGGGCTCCATTGAGAGACCTCATCCCATTGGCCGCTTGGGGTATGCAGTCGGAGCAGATCTGGGCTCCCGGTTATCATCTGGGCTCCCGGTCAGAAGGTTTCCTGATAGCCAAGCTACATGATTGTCGGCTATTCACCGTCATACTTACTGAATATTTGAATGAATGACGACGTCTTCTGTTATCCTTATAATACTGCTCCTTTATTAAGTCTTTGTTGGGGACTAGAAATCCGGCTGACTCCTTTCGTGGGGCGGGGACTGTAACTGTTAAGTCATCTGTGGGTATAACTTCATCTCCGTATAGCTCCTTTCCAGCACATCACTGAGACCATGCTGATTCTTTTTTCTTCAGTGATCCACTGTAGGTGTGCCAAGTGTTTCTGTTATCCTACAAAGCGGAGAATAAGAAGAAGACCCAGAAACTTAACCATCTTGAGTCTCCCAGAAGACGTGCTCTTTCACATCCTGAAATGGCTCTCTGTTGGGGACATCCTTGCTGTGCGATCTGTAAGTTGCCCGATGAAGAAAGATAGTGTCAGCCCTAGCAGTGTTGGTCATTCCGTCAAAGTTTCAGGTTCTTAAATGTCAGAACAGAACTTTGGCTACAAAAAGAACAGAGGAACAAGGATGGTAATTGTTAATAGATGCTTGAGTTTGTTCCGATCATGGGAAACCTAAAAGTAGTACGTTCACTATAATGTTTAACAGAGAAGCCACTTTTTTTTACGGCAGTAAAATTTGTATTTCTTAAGACATAAGACATTACATCTGAAACTAACACTATCTCAATTGTACTTGACAAATAAATTTTATATATATATTTTATTGATTTTTTACAGCCAGGAAGGGAGAGGGACAGAGAGTTAGAAACATTGATGAGAGAGAAACAGCGATCAGCTGCCTCCTGCACACCCCCTACTGGGGATGAAATTAATAAAAATATATTTTTTAAAATTTTTTTTGAAAAAAATTAAGATATTAGTGCTCGCTTCAGCAGCACATATACTAAAATTGGAACGATACAGAGAAGATTAGCATGGCCCCTGCGCAAGGATGACACGCAAATTCATGAAGCGTTCCATATTTTTAAAAAAAATTTAAGATATTAAAAAGAATAAAAATATATCCTTGAGAACAAATCCCATGTAATATTCAGTACTGAAAGGGACTCGGAGTTATTTTACAGACATTGGAACTGCAGCCTCATTCTGAACGACTTAACCCAAGGCATATAGTAAATTTGTAGGAAAACAAGAATCCACTTCTCCAACTCCCAAAGCCGCCTCCATTTGGGTTATAATATCCATGGGTGCTGAGTTTCCAATGGCGGTGGGAACGTTAGTGCTTAGATTGCTAACCAGTGATCAGGGCTCCTGCCCAGAGCAGAGGCTCCAGGTCCTACCTGAGGCTGCTGACAGCCTTTTCCAAGAGTCCGTTGACCTCTAGGCTCCATTCATGCTCCCACTGCAAGACTCCAGGCAGAACAATACAAAACAGGTTTTTGGCCCTTCCAGGTTTGGCTCAGTGGATAGAATGTCAGCCTGGAAGGGAGCCAGAGTCTACATACGGGTTTCGGTGTTAACTGGACAGAGGGCAGGCAGCCAGGGGATGTTTTAGAATATCATGTATGATATATGACTGCGGACTGAAGGAACCCGGAGGGTTCGATTCTGGGGAAGGGCACATGCCCAGGTTGTGGGCTCGATCCCTGGTAGGGGGTGTACAGGAGGCAGCTGATCAATGATTCTCATCATTGATGTTTCTATCTCTCTCTCCTTCTCCATTCCTCTCTGAAATCAATAAAAATTTTAAAACAACAACAAAAAAACAAATTTTTGTCCTAGCTGCTCCTGTTAGACTTGGTTCCTCTGTTCCTTGTAGCTATATATCGTACAAAGGTGTCATTCCCTCTTTCTCAGTCTAGATGATTATTCCCCCTTCCAGGACCACTGTCTCCACCTTTATTTATTTATTTATTTATTATATTTTATTGATTTTTTACAGAGAGGAAGGGAGAGGGATAGAGAGTTAGAAACATCGATGAGAGAGAAACATCAATCAGCTGCTTCCTGCACACCACCTACTGGGGATGTGCCCGCAACCAAGGTACATGCCCTTGACCTGAATCAAACCTGGGACCCTTGAGTCCACAGGCCGACGCCCTATCCACTGAGCCAAACCGGTTAGGACCACTGTCTCCACCTTTAGAGCCACAGAGAAAATTATTTTTGGGCTCTTTTTTCTATTCACAGCCACTGTTACTATAAGACATAGAGTAGGGGCCTTTACTACTGGGGTAGGGAAGAGGACAGGAGACCCTACATTCTGTCTTCAAGAGCTCCAGAGGCATGGCTTCTGGGAAGGTCCCTTAATTCCCACCTACCCTGCTTCCGTTGCTCTGCAGGTGCACTCCCACCTCAAGTACCTGGTGGACAACCATGCCAGTGTGTGGGCATGTGCCAGCTTTCAAGAGCTGTGGCCTTCTCCAAGGAACCTGAAGCTCTTTGAAAGGTATCTCTGCACCCTGGGAATAGCTTGGTTTTCTCCCATCTTGGGGCCTCCCTGATATTTTAGCATGTGTCCCAAGGCCTGACCTGGGAATGATTATCTTCCTGTAGCCTCTGCCAATTCCTTATCCCCCCAAGGAAGCAACTAAGGGCAGTCAACCTCACCCACTGAGTCACATGACTTCCAGCACAGTCATCAGTCATCCTACCACCAGCACAGGCCCAACTCTCATTAGTCAGAGTGGTGCTTCTGAAGAGTCCCTCTTGGGCTGTGACCCATCCCTTGTGACTCAAACCCAGGTCACCTGTGTGTGGAAACTTTATTCAGCTCTTTTCTTTTGGTCAAAACCATATGGTTTAAATCCTATTGCATTTCGTTCACTGGCTGATCCCATTCCCCTGCTAGAGATGGGACCCAGAGGCAGGACCAAAGTGGGTGTGAGCCCTAAGGCCTGTGAATCCTAGTGTGACAATGACTAAACACACCGTCCAAGTGTGCCAGTAGTTTCAGGCCGGCCATCTGAGATATAACCCACAAACTATACAATTTACCCTTTTTAAATGTGCACCTTGGTGATTTTTAATATAGTCACAGTTATGCAGCCATCAACACTAACTTTATAACATTCTCATTACCCCAAAATGAGACCCTGTACCCATTAGCAGTCATTCCCTGTTTTACCTGCAATCCCCCAAACCCTAGTATCTGTTTCCTCTCTCTGGATATGCCCATTATGAACATTTCATATAAGGAATCATACAACTTGTTGGCTTCTTTCACTTAGCATGTTTTTAAGGTTCATCCATGTTGTATGATATATAACTGCATTAGCTAAAAAAAAAAGTTGCTATTCAGAAAATAAGTACACTAGCTTCAATTGCTGTGATGGAACATAACCTTGATGGAATATAATTCTGTGATATTTTCTGTTCTTAATGTAGGGCTGCTGAAAAGGGAAATTTTGAAGCTGCTGTGAAACTAGGCATTGCGTACCTCTACAATGAAGGCTGTAAGTCCTTGCAGGGCTGGAGCTGGCATTGCCCCTCTTGGTATTGATGTTTTAGAACACGCATAAGCTCTTCTCAGTGTTTGTAATTTAGTTGCTCTTCTTACTGTATCTGGAGGTCTGCCTTACTGTCTTCTCCAAGGAGCTTGTGCCAGAGGTGCCCTACTGAGGGACCCATTGATGAAGTTTGATTTTTGTACGTTGGGAGACTTACCTCTCATTTTAATAAATCTTTTCATTTCAGTCAGCAAAGAATGACTGAGCAGAGACTTAGAATGAGGGCTACTCAGGCAGCAGCCTTCCCCTGGCTGCCTGCCCTCTGTCCAGTTAACACCGAAATTCGTGTGTAGACTCTGGCTCCTTGTCTCAGCCACAGTTCCTCTGTGGGACTCAGGGGCAGTGGTCAAAGTGTGCCTAATTCCATAGGATATCAAGAACACGGGTAGCCAAGGCTCTAAGCCGGAGGCAGGTACAAGCAGGTCAAAGCCAGCATGGTAACTGAATTTCCTTACCCCCAAAGGTCAGGTGCTCTTTGAAAGAATCTTATGTGGCCTTCCACCAATTCCTGCCTGTTTGCTTAGCACACTAAGGACTAGCCTAGGGTGCATCCTGTCTGGTTCCCAAAACACATTAAGATTTAAAAACAGCTGTTTTTCTGTTTGTAAAAAATCTGGCATCTTATTGAGAAATAGCCCCTGCATGTGGTCAGTTGACAAGACTGTTGTGACTAATAGAAACAATGAGCATTCCTCCAGGCTAAGAAAAGCTGCAGTCCTGCCCCAAACCTCCCATCAGATAGCAGTTCCCAGACAAAATTCGCATACCATACAACTCACCCATCCGAAGTATACAACCTAGTGATTTTTGGTATAGTCACAGAGTTGTGCAGCCATCACCACTGTCCGATTTTGGAAATTCTCATTACCCCCAAAATAAACTTGTTAGCAGGGGGGGTTGCCAGCAGTACCCAACAGGAGGGAGGGTGGGCATCTGACACCTTCACAGAGAGCACCTTCCCACCTTCAAAATCCAGGCTGTTGGGAAGACCCTGGCAGAGGTACATGAGTCACAAAGTAGGGAGAGAAGGGGAAGGAGCCCCCCATTCCGGAGGGCTTTTGTCTCCTCAAACACCAGCAGCTCTGCACTGCAGTGGACTTGGGGTTTTAGACTTTCACAAAAGATCATGGAGAACGCTCACATTTGTCCTTGAGACATCCCTGAGTCATGTTCTGTCCGCCTCTCCAGTGTCTGTGTCTGATGAGGCCCGCGCAGAAGTGAATGGCCTGAAAGCCTCTCGCTACTTTAGTCTCGCTGAGCGACTGAATGTCAGTGCCGCACCTTTCATCTGGCTCTTCATCCGCCCTCCGTGGTCAGTGTCTGGAAGCTGCTGCAAGGCCGTGGTTCACGAGAGCCTCCGGGCAGAGTGCCAGCTACAAAGGGTGAGTCCTGGCCAGGGGCGCATCTAGGGTGGGCAGCGCTGGGCGGTTCAAGCCCCACAGGATCCGGGAGGTGAGAAACCTTGAGGAGAGATGCTGTGGACCATATAAAGTCAGGGACCTGAGGGCTGTGGAGGCACAGAAAACCAATAGTCTGGATGTGGGAGCGTCTGGAAATGCCCAAGCAGGAGAGGAGGCCTCGGAGCTGGAGTTTAGGGGAATCTGATGAGCTGGACTGCAGGCACAGTGACAGCTGGAAAGGCAAGAGAGGTTCCATGAAGCAGGCCGTCCTCTGCAAACCCCACAGGCTGGGAGGGGCAGCCCCGGATGTTCTCGCCTCTGGTGATCATACTTCTTTCTCCTCCTCCTCTTAGACTCACAGAGCGTCCATACTGCACTGCTTGGGGAGAGTACTGAATCTTTTTGAGGTGAGTTGAGTTATCCATCCCACTTGGATTCTGAGTTTTATGTGTGCCTGGCCTGGGTGAGCACACAGAATACAGCAGTGTCACATGTCCATGCTGCTCACCTTTCTGCCAGCCACCAGCACCAAGGATGAGGAAGTAAGTGAAAGGCAGCAAAAGGGGCTGTCCAGGGTTCAGAGCCAGAGTCCTGACTGAGAGGCTGTGTGGAGCCAGGCAGAGCGTCTGAGTGTGCTTATTTGTTCCATGGTTCTGCTATTGGTGAGCCTCTCCCACTGCTCACCCAGACTCTCCACATTTGAGGAAGCTTTAACAAGCTTTGTTATTAAGGAATTCCCTCTGCAGCAAGTCAGGGAAGGTGGTGTGACAGGTGTGCATTGACAGTAACAGGGAGGGACACTGAGCATGAGGGAGGCGGTGGAGGAGCCCCAAGATAGCCTCCAGCATCACCATCTGGGGGGTTCAGTGTGGAGGGCTTGCCCTCCAGTAGGCCTAGGGCCAAGCCAAACACAAACCTGGTCAAGGAGAAAGCAGAACCTGTGAGGGCAGAACTCATGAATTCACTTTCCCCGTTGATTGTCAAATGTATGTCTTTAGAGAAATCATTTCTACTCCGATTTAGTTAACTCATTCTTACTAAAGAGCAATGCATGGGGACACTTAGAGATATGGAGAAAGATGAAGATGGTTACTAGAATGGGTTAGCAGAAAGAGAATAAGAAGAGAATAAACTGCTTGGACTTTTCCAGGATGAAGAGAAAAAGAAGCAGGCTCGTGAACTGTTTGAAGAGTCTGCTAATCAGGGATGTTTGACCAGCTCGTACCTCCTCTGGGAAAGTGACAGAATGACGGATGTGAGTGGACCAGGGTCTGGGGAGAGGAGAAATTATGTTGGCCAAAGGCACAGTCTCCAAATTGGTCCTTGGATGAGGTTGTCAGCACAGGAAGGATCCTCATCTAGTAGGCCCCTGGGAACTGCTGCTTAGTGGGCCACTCTCAGCACTGTCCCAAAATGACCACTGTCATCTACACTAATAAAAGAGAAACATGGTAATTGGCATATGACTGCTACCCTTCCCATTGGCTAATCAGGGAAATATGCAAATTAACTGATAGCCAGGATGGCGG